GGTTGCTGTGAGCTGTGATGCCATGGCACTCTACCCAGGGAAATAGCTTGAGGCTCTGTCTCAAAAAAAAAAAAAAAAGGTCATGAGAGATGACAGTGAAGAAATGGAGAAAGAAGGGCTGCACCTGGGAGAGAGTGAGGCTGTAGCTGTGCACGTGTGTGAGCCCAAGACCAGTGGCAATTTTTTTTTATGGTTACTCCAACAGTCAGTCCCACAGGTGCAGGGGTTGTGAGAAAGTATAAGAGAAAGTGATAGGGAGACAGCAACTGAGATGGGACAAGAGACCACCCGACCAGGGGTGGGAGGGAGAAACCAGCAGTAGCAGCAACCGGAAGTTAGCAACTGTGGAAAGAAACTTGACAACTGAGCAGGGTCTGAGAGTTTGGAGGTGCGGAGGTTGTGAAATATATAGTCCTTGATTTATAGCCTCTTACATTTGTGAAAAAGCTGCACAAACAAGACTGAGTGCAGTCGATGACGAGCAACCACGTGTGTGTGTGCGTGTGGTGTGTGAGAAACTTACAAGGCTATAATTGTGCATCTGTGTACCTGGTAAGTTGACCATAAGAAGAAAGTGACAGTGTGCTCGGCCAAGGTGGGGCATGGGAGACTGTGTGACTTATTGAGGGCTTAGTAGTGATTATGACTTGGTGACCACATATGTCAGAAGCAGACCAAGGGACAATGATGGTGAGATGGAATGGGTGACTATGTGCCTGTGTATAAAACTTTAAAGGAGACATTATTAAAGGTTGTACAGGCAGTCCAGCAGTTATAAACAAAGATAGGTTCTCTAGGTTCTTAAGTTCAATTAGTATGTAAGTTGGAACAGGTACATTTACCAATTACCTGTAATAACCTTCATAAGTGCAAGTGTATGTGGGTTGGGTGCTTTTAACATGAGGACCTAACTGCAATAGCCTCTGTGAGTTGAACATAATTCGGTTGTTTGTAACTCGGGGACTAAAAGACTGGGTGTGTTGAAAGTTGGATGAGGAGAAATGTGAAACTAGATGATGAAGACAATGTCTGCAATACGGTGTGATCTCGTGTGCAACTTTGTAGGACACCACAGGAGAGGCTATAAGTGGGGACCGTGGGTGTGTGAAAAAGTGACTTTGAGTGTGAAGGGGTAGGAGAGGTGATGATTGTGTGTGTGTGTGTGAGAAACTTCATGAGAGATTAGCTAGCAGTTACTGTAAATCCGTGACTATTTGTGTATGTGAGAAAATGACAAGCTGAATGAGTGGCTGAAGGTTTTGTGAGATGGTGTGATGTGTGTGTGTGAGAGAAAGAAACTGGTGAGAGGAAATACTGGTGATACTGAGACAGGCTGCAAGACGTGATTGTGAAACTGTTAGGCTGGGGATCGGTGACAGAAAATGGGTCTTGAGTGACAGATTGAGAGGCTATGTGATTGAGTCTATATGTGAGCTTGTTTGTGAGAGACTATAGTAGAGGCTGCGAATCCAGAGCTGTATGTGTATAGGTTAAAAAATGTGAGAGAAAAAGACCAAATGCAACACTATGAGAGACCACTGATTGTGCCAGGCCTAGGAGGAAAATCTTCTTCTGTTTGTCCTCTTTCTTTGTGGACACTTCCTACTCAGTGCCCTGGGCTGCTCCTCCCAGTTCTCCATAACTCAAAATGCTGGGGTTCCCCAGGGCTTTGCCTGGGAGTCTCCTCTCACGTGTCTTCTCTAGGTGGTTTTATCCAGTTCCTAGACTTCAAATACTATTGAAATACTACTTATCTCCCAGGTGATGCCCAAATTTCTACATCCAACTCAAGACGGGTCCTCTTGGGCAGCACCTGTGGCTCAAAGGAGTAGGGCGCCAGCCCCACATGCTGGAGGTGGCGAGTTCAAACCCAGCCCGGGTCAAAAAAAAAAAAAAAAACCATGACGGGTCCTCTTAGTACTACCTGCAATCTCCCAAGTTTTGTTTCATTTATTGATTCATTCAGCAGATGGTCACTGAGCGTGTGCTGTTTGCTGGTGCCCATCTAATACCTGCAGACCTGGTGGCTAACAAACCAGACAAAAATCCCTACCCTTACAGAGCTGATATATAAGTGAAGGAGACAGACAAGAAACAAATAGTATCAAGACAGACAAGAGGCTCCGCGCCTGTGGCTCAAGTGACTAAGGTGCCAGCCACATACACCTAAGGTGGCGGGTTTGAATCCAGCCCGGGCCCGCCAAACAACAATGATGGCTGCAACCGAAAAATAGCCAGGCGTTGTGGCGGGCGCCTGTGGTCCCAGCTACTTGGGAGACTGAGGCAGGAAACCTGCTTGAGCCCAGGAGTTGGAGGTTGCTGTGAGCTGCAACTCTACCCAGGGGGACAGTTTGAGGCTCTGTTTCAAAAAAAAGAAAGACAAGAGTCTCTCTGTTTAAAGAAATCTGCAGAGTCATTTTATTGCCTACATATGTGTAGGAGAAGATGAACGTGCCAACAATCCTCTTCCATAGGGAATTCTATGAATACACAGTTTAGGAACAAAGAAAATATCGATTATGACATTATTATCAGTGCAACACAACCAGAATTTCAGGTTTCTTGGGGAGTTTGTTTTTACAGGATAACACAGCACTAATGTCTGAAGTCTTAGAATCGTAACAAGACCCCTTTGTTCAAAGCACACTTTGAAAGACAGGCTTATGTTACCAGAGAATAGAGTACATCTATAATGGATACAGATACTCACACACACTGTACTGCCTATAAAACAAGACCAGTATTCTTGAACTGTTTTAACACCTGACCAAATTCTTTTATCTTGTTTAAATTCACAGAACGGATTTTCTCCATCACTAAATGCAAGGAAAGTGGGACATTGCCTTCCTATCTTTTCTTTTTTTTTGAAACAGTCTCACTTTGTCACCCTTGGTAGAGTGCTGTGGCATCACAGCTCACAGCAACCTCTAACTCTTGGACTTAAGCAATTCTCTTGCCTCAGCCTCCCAAGTAGCGGGGACTACAGGCACCCACCACAATGCCTAGCTATTTTTTGTTGGAGTTGTCATTGTTTAGCTGGCCCGGGCCGGGCTCGAACCTCCCTGCCTTGGTGTATGTGGCCAGCATTCTACCCACTGAGCTACGGGCACTGCCACCTTCCTGTCTTTTTAAGTGGGCTCTAGAGTTTTGTTAGGGTTTATTAAGTTTGTGAGCCACTGGGCTAGAAAGGACAGGGATGCCATACAAGAAAGGTAGCTTGGGAAGGCTTCCGGGGGCAGGGGAGGAAGGGTGTGACATTGCCTCCTCTTCTAGATCGTAAGTCCCTTGAAGGCTAGAATTGTTGTCTTGTTCTGTTCACTAATGCTGAGAGCCACATCTGGCATCCAGTAAGTGCTCAATAAATGTCAAATAAATTTATTTAATAAACATGGAGCACCTACTATATGCTGGGCTCTATTCTAAAGACTTTTAAAAAGCCAAATCCCGAGCAGTGCCTGTAGCTCAAAGGAGTAGGGTGCCGGCCTCATACGCCAGAGGTGGCAGGTTCAAACCCAGCCCCAGCCAAAAAAAAAAAAACTGTGCAAGAAAAAAAATGAAAAGCCAAATCCCATTCTTTGTAAGAAACCCTACCTTTGCTATAGGTACTGTGAGCACATTTCAGAGAGGAGGAAACAGACTCCAGGAAGGGTTCTCTATGGAACTTGGCCAAGCTGGTTCCTGCTTAACTGCACTCGGGTTCCTCTCACTTCCCTTTCTCACTTCCTTTTTGCTAACCACCCCCTGATGCTGACTGCAGGGAACCCCGCTTTCAGGAAAGAGTAGGGTGGAGGTTAAGTCAGGGTGATGGATGTAGCAATTACCTTGATGCCCCCTCTATATCTCATGAGGAAGGACGTGTGAGCACACTGAAAGGGGTTTGGTGGTGTACCAGAGACAAGACCAGGAGAGGCTCAGGCCAAGTTTAGTGAAAGGGCACAGAGACCCTCCTTGGCAAAGATGGCATCTGCAACAAAGATGCCACCATCGGAGGCTTGTTTTTATACTGGGTGTAGGGAGAGGAAGATTCCACAGCTTGCTGGAAGGTCCCGGTGGGCTAGGGTCTTTCCAGTCAAACTCTGGGGCCAGGTAGGCCTTTTGTTCTAGGAGGAGGAGGAGGAAGGGTTTAGGCCCCCAACACACACCACACTCATTTCACTCTTTTATTTATTTTTTTTTTTGAGACAGAGTCTCGTTTTGTCACCCTCAGTAGAGTGCTGTGGCATCAAGCTCACAGTAACCTCTAACTCTTGGGCGCAAGTGATTCTCTTGCCTTGGCCTCCCAAGTAGCTGAGACTACAGGTGCCCGCCACATCACCTGGCTATTTTTAGAGATGGGGATCTTGCTCTGGCTCAGGCTGGTCTTGAACCTGTGAGCTCAGGCAATCCACCCACCTCAGCCTCCCAGAGTGCTAGGATTATAGGCGTGAGCCCCCACGACTGGTATTTCATTTCACTCTTGTTCCACAGCCTCATGAGGTTCATCTCATCACTGTGGTAGAGATTATGCATTTTACAGGTAGTGAAACTGAGTCTCAGAGGTGTAAGCAACTTTCCCAAGGTCACACAACTAACAAGTTGCTCAAACTCCTATGCTCTGTTTCCCCTCATTGGGAATTTGCCCAATAGTGTTGATTGAATGCTGAAAGATTGCTGGGTGGAGCATGAGGTGTGGGGATATGGTGACAAACAAAACAAGATCAGTGACAAAACAGGATTGAGGGTGAAACAGGAAATCAAGAGGGAGAGTAGAGGAGGTGGCAAAGGGGACAAGGAAGAGGTCACAGCAGAAGAGGGCTGCAGGGCACCCTCTCCTCTCCCCCGCCCTTCATCCTCCCAGTTCCTCTTTCCCTGCTGACTCCAGGAGCAGGTCAGCCCAGATGAAGCCAGCCTTCCTCTCGGCACAGAGGCAGGGGGCAGTGCTCAGCATGACCTCCTGCACACAGGCCCGTTGGTGGCTGCCACTGCTGCTGCTCACCCTGCCAGCCACAGGTGAGCCAGTGAGGGCCCAGCTGATCCCCAGGGGTTCTCAGGCCCACTGCATCCCTGACTGTGCTCCGCCTGCCCATCCCCGGCCCTGTTACAGGCTCAGATCCTGTGCTATGCTTCACTCAGCATGAGGAATCCTCCCGCAAGTGCAGTGGCTTCCTGGGAAGCGTCAGTGTGGAAGATTGCTGTCTCAACACTGCCTTTGCCTTCCAGAAAGACGGCAGCAAGCTCTGTCAGACATGCAGGTTAGGGGGAATGTGGCTCAGGGGAGACACAAAGGACTGCCTGTGGGATGACCTAGGACCGGGTGCTTTCCTTCTCTGGGATTTCTAAGGGCAGCCCTGAGCCCCTGATCATGATGACTAGCTCAGGGTTTCTCACCCTTGACACTATTGATTGATATTTAGGGCTGGAACATTCTTTGTTGGGGAAGGAGGGTGCTGACTTGTGCATTGTGGGATGGACGTTTTGTAACATTCCTGGCCTTCCACTAGATGCCAGTAGCAACACCCCTCTCAGTTGTAACAACCAAAAATGTCTCCAGGCATTGCCAAATGTCCCCTGGGGAGCAAAATCACCCGATTGAGAACCACTGCCATAGTTCCCATATATTGACCACTTCCTGCACACTGGAAGCATTGCAGGTAGGCTGCAGCTCATGTGTTTCTGAAGGTAACTCTAGTCTCCTAATTGTGATGACAGCTCATGTTTATTACATGCCAACTATATATGGACACATTGTGGGGGTGGAAGAGTTTGGGGAATTCTGAGAGCAGCAGCTACAGGCCCCTAAATGTGGTGATGATACTTCCCATTCATTGAGCACTTCCACATCCTGCATACCAGATGCATTGCTGCAGGAGGGCTCAGCTTGAGAATTCCTGAGGGTAGCTCTGGTCTCCTAATCATGATTTCCAGCTTGCATGTATTGAGCCCTTACTGTATTCCGGGTCTATCTTCTAATTGCTTACTGTTATTCTGGATACACTGTGGGGGTGGAGAGCTTGGGGATCTTTGAGGGCAGCTCTAGGCTCCTTGTTGTGTCCACCGTTCACATCTATTTAGCATTAACAGCATACCCAGTGCTATGAGGGGGTTGGGTGTAGATCTGGGGGATTTCTGAGGAGGCCTCTGAGCTTGCTGGGATGACGGCTCCTGTTTATTAAGCACTTCCTGTTTGCCTGCTACTGTGCAGGGTGGTGATCTGGTGAGTTTCTGACAGCAGCTCCAGTCCCCTAGTCCTTACTGGGGCTTACTGTGTGCCTGCTATTGTCCTTGAGGGTCTTCTAACTCCAGGTCCCTGATCATGATGGTAAATGATTTTTATCAAGCACTTACTGTATGCCCACCTCTTCCCATTCCATCCTCCAATATCCCTAAAATGTTGGTATTCATGAATTCATCCTATACATGTTTCCCCCCTTGTATGCATACTTACACTCTGGAGTCCGGAATGCCATCCTTGACAACTTCCATCAGGATGGGACATGTGCTCTTCTTTATAGAGCCGTAGGATGGTCACCTTGGTCAGCATGGGCCCCCTGCTCAGTGACATGCTCTGAGGGCTCCCAGCTGCGGCATCGGCGCTGCATGGGCCGGGAAGGGAAGTGCTCTGAGAAGGCGGTGCCTGGGACCCTTGAGTGGCAGCTACAGGCCTGTGAGGACCAGTTATGCTGTCCTGGTAAGGAGGACCAGGCAGGCAGCAAGCATTCCCTGCTAATAAGCACTAGGAACAATTAGTGCAGGGCACTGAGGTCAGGCCTATACCTGATGTTTGTGAGGACGGAAGGAGTGGCGGGAGGTGAGGTCAGAAAGGTGAGGGGGCCCTGGTAAGGACACTGGCTTTTAGTCTGAGTGATCTGAACTGTGGGCAGGAGAGAAATGTGATCTGGTATGGGTTGGGAGGACAGAGTGTGTATGGTGAGGGACCAGTGTGAAGGCTGCTGTGGTCATTCATGGGAGCAGTGATAGTGGGTCAAGTGTGGTGGCAAAAGATATGAGGACAGGATTAGCTGATGTGGGGCATGCGAGGAAGCAAGGAGTCCTGAATGGCACCCCACCTCCAGCCCCCTCTCTTCTGTCCCACAGAGATGGGTGGCTGGTCTAACTGGGGACCCTGGAAGCCTTGCTCTGTCACCTGCTCCAAAGGGACTCGGACCCGCCAGCGAGCATGTGATCACCCTGTCCCCAAGTGTGGGGGTGGCTGCCCAGGAGAGGCACAGGAGTCAGAGGCCTGTGACACAAAGCAGGTCTGCCCTAGTGAGTGAGGGCAGCCACAGGACACCAGTGGGGTCACCCGGGGTGGGTCTGTAGGGTTACAACAGGGAACTCCCAGGGTGAGGTGACTTCAGCACATATGACCACACTTGCATCCTATCTCCCAACCCACCACAGCACATGGAGCCTGGGCTGCCTGGGGCCCCTGGAGTCCTTGCTCAGGCTCCTGCCACGGTGGACCCCATGCACCTATAGAAACACGAAGCCGCACGTGTTCTGCACCTAAGCCCTCCCAGCAGCCTCCTGGGAAGCCCTGCCCAGGGCCAGCCTATGAGCAGCGGGGTTGCACTGGCCTCCCACCCTGCCCAGGTACGTGAGCGTGAGGCCTCTGACACTCTGCCGGTTGGGCTCTTGATTCAGGCACAGATGCTCTGCCATTTCAGGGGGCAGAGTTTCTATACCATGTGAACATGGAGCCCTTCATCTGGAACAGTCTGTCTCAAGAGTCTAGCAGCTGAGGGGAAGGATTAAAGTGGCCTTTCTCCTCACTCCCTTTCTTTCTCCAACAGTGGCTGGGGGCTGGGGGCCCTGGGGCTCTGTGAGCCCCTGTCCTGTGACCTGTGGCCTGGGCCAGACCCTCGAAAAACGGACATGTGATAACCCCAAGCCTCAGCATGGGGGCCCCTCCTGTGCTGGTGACACCACCCGGACTCACATCTGCAACACAGCTGTCTCCTGCCCTGGTCAGCACCTTAGGAGGCACCATTTCCATGTCTGAGCCCCCATTGCCCATCCCTGCTGCCCAGTTCCTCCTGCTGAGGCCTTGTTCCTGTCCCTAATTCCTCCTTTCCTGGCCCTGATGCCTTTGTTCCACCACTGAGCTCCCATTCCCACATCTGATTGCCCCCATGTCCTCCCATAGCCCTCATTCCTTCCTATGATCCCCTTGCTGCTTCCCAGCCTTGGACTGAGCCCCTGTTGCCCTGTCTCTCCAGTGGATGGAGAGTGGGAGACCTGGGGAGAGTGGAGCACCTGCTCTCGCCTGAACATAAAGTCCATCAGCTGTAATGAAATCCCGGGCCAGCAGTCACGCACGAGGACCTGCAAGGGCCGCAAGTTTAATGGACAGCGGTGTGCTGGCCAATACCAGGATATCCGGCACTGCTACAGCATCCAGGGCTGTGTCTGTGAGTACCCTACAGGCTTTGCTGTGAGGGTACAGCCGTCCCTGCAGGGGCAAGGATTTTCCAACTCTGCTGTGGACCCCATGTCCCTGCAGCCTCCCTCTCACAGGAGACTTCCAATTCTGACTCTGTGACCCCTCACCCTTCATTGCAGTGAAAGGCTTGTGGTCAGAGTGGAGTACCTGGGGGCTGTGCACGCCTCCATGTGGACCCAACCCCACCCGTGCCCGCCAGCGCCTCTGCACAGCCTTGCTCCCCAAGTTCTCGTGAGTGAGGGGGTAGAGTGTGCCTGGGAGGGGATCAGAACATTGAAGGTGGGAGAGTCAGCTATGCCAGGCAACCAGAGCTTCCACCACTGCATCGAGCGTGTCTGTCTTGCCAGGTGCCATCTCCTAGGAAGAGGGGAGAAAATAAAAGATGAGAAAGAAGCTGTTAGGGAAGAATTGATAGCCTCAGTAGCCCTCAGTCAGCCATTCTCCCATTTACATTTAGTCCTTCAGGTGTCGTTTACTCTGACTTCTCAGTTGCCCATGCTTTGACTTGGTCAATCACCCAGGCCTCCATTCACTCACTTGCTCCTGCACTCATCCAATCCTGTGGTCACCTGCTCCCACTCCATTCTTTCACTTGCCATCTCACTGCCCCAGGGCACTCTAAGACCTTTTCAGCAACAGTTATAGACATACAAAACCCAGATCCCATGAATCCCCCAAGGGACCTAGCAGGGGCCTGACAGAAAGCATGTGAAGAGTGACTGATGTGTAGAAGAGACTTCTACCTCAGCCTAGGTCCAGGAAGCTGATCAGGCCTCCTAGGGCATGTAGGAGTCAGAAAAGGAATTCCTGGCATCAAGACTTTGAGCAGAGTCCTGGACACAAGTGATTTGCCATCCCAAACATTTCCCAGTGATATAGTAGCCCAGGTGTTAGAGGGGATTCAAATACTCATCCCTTCTTTCCTCCCACATACATTGAGCCACCAGATTAAGGGCACTGTTCCCAGCTCATGGAAGGCCTGCCATCTGGGAAGGGATATCCTGAATATGGAGTTCTGAGTAGGTTCCGAAGATGAGTTAGAGGTGTTGAATGGAGGCACAAAGGACTTGAATGAGTAATAGACTGGAGGAAGCACTAATTGAGAGAACTGGGATGAGAGTGAATGAAGAGCTTGCCTAGTGGGAGAAATAACCCAGGCAAAGACCTTTCTGGACATGAGACTGAGTTTGGATAAAGTAAAGGAGGGAGAGAGAGGAAGAGAGAGAGAGATTGATATTAGCCTGGGGCAGGGATTTGGGCCCAACAATGAAGCCTTGAATGTCAGGACAAGGCCTTTGGGTTTTTTTCTGGGGACAGAGCAGAGAGATATAATGGGTTTGAAAGGTAAAAAAGGCAGCTTGTGTCAAGTAACAATCACCAGCATTTATTGAGAACTTACTGTGTGCCAGGCATTGCTCTGCACACTTTACCTGAATTAACTCATTTATCCTCACTCATCCCCATGAGGTGGGTATTAATATTATTCCTATTATTCCCAGTAATATCCTAATTAATCCCTAGGAAGCTGCCTAGGTTCCCACCCCACGCCCTCTGGAAACTGTGTCACAGGGAAGATAAATTGCCCAATGTCTCACAACTAAAAAGTAGTGTTAAGCGCACAGTAGGCACTCAAGAGTATGTCAAATGCATTTTTGCCTTCCCTAAGTTTCTTCCCTCCATTTCCCCAATGCCCCAGGCCCACCGTTTCAGTGGTTGAAGGTCAGGGTGAGAAGAATGTGACTTTCTGGGGAAAACCGCGGCCACTGTGTGAAGAGCTGCAGGGGAAGAGGCTGGTGGTGGAGGAGAAACGGCCATGTCTACACACGCCTGCCTGCAAAGACCCTGAGGACTAAAAGCGCTAACACCTCTCTCTTCCACTTTGACCCTCTGACTTCCCAAACCTCAATAAACTAGCCTCTTGGAGCTCTTCTAAGATTCCTTAAAAGAAGGCAAAGCAACGTACCCCCTTCCCCATACGTGGGGTTAATATTATCCTCTAGGGCAGTGATTCTCAACCTTCCTAATGCCGTGGCTCTTTAATACAGTTCCTGTGGGTCGTGACCCACAGGTTGAGAACCGCTGCTCTAGGGCCAAGAGCACAGCACAGGCAAAGTCACGGAGGCTAGTGTGGAAAACTGTATTTCCACTGTGGGTGCAGTTTGGCAGGAGCGAAAGTATCTAGCCTCAGTCTCCCTTCGCTGCCGTTGCTGTGACCTCGATTCCCTTAGTCTCTGGTCCGCTGACCCCTTAGGGTCCTGGGGCCGCCCTGGCACGTACCTCTGCAGAGCTCCGAGTTACGAGTTTCCCGATTGGCTACTCGTCCTGGCAGGCACTTTTTGATTGGTCGGAGTGCCTGTTGCCGGCTCCACCTCCTGAAGCTGCCTAGGTTCCCACCCGACCCCATACCCCCACCCCCAAGCCTCTCGGCTGGCGTATCCCCAGTCAATTGACCGTGAAAGGCAGCAGAGGCGTGGCTGGTGTTGGCGTCCTGCCGCGCAAGCACCTGCAGCCACCCACTCCCAACAGCCTGACTCCAATGCAGCAATTACTGGTGACAAACAGATCCGCGAGGCGGGTGGGGGGGGGGCGGTACGGAAGTGCTTATGATGTACTTTGAGCTGGGGCTTGGGCAAAAACAAGCTAGAGACAGCATCTGCCCATAGGAGCCCCCAAGAAAAACCCAGACATATTCTTCCAGCGCTTGTTCGTTCATTCAATGCTTATTAGCGTTTACTGTGTATTAAAGCTAAGTCTGGGCATCTGGGGTGGAGGAGGGCTGGTAGAAGGAGAGGACATCTGAGCGAGGGTACAGACTCAGAATAGTTATTCCTTTCCTTTGAACATCTATTTAACACTTAACGCCTACTTTATACTAACAATAGTGCTGGACATCATGGGGGATAGGGAAGAAGAGGAATCAGAGTGTTATGTGTCTCCACAGTGAAGGGGACAAACTCAGATACACAGATACCAGTGCTCTTAGCATTGGCTCATTCATTTACCACTTACTGAATGCCAAGCCCCTTGTAAGGAGACACATTAAGAATAATTGTAATTTTGGTAATAGCTAATGGTTAGAAAAAACCTGTGTTCCTGGTAGTCTCTTAAGGCCTTCCATAGCATGAACTCATTTAATGTATGACCAAACTATGAGGGTCAGTATTATTATCCCTATTTTACAAAAGAAGAAGCAGGCACAAAAAGTAGCAGATTGGGCTTTTTTGATGCACCATGGATTATGACGAGGCAGAAGCAGAGGTCAAGATTTTGTGCTATGGGTGAAGAGGCTCCTCTGTGTGGGAAGGTTCAGGTGGGAGGTTTGTGACCTGGAGTCTGCTGGTGCACTCACTTGAATTGTCTGGGTCATTTTTCTTTTATGTAAAATGGGCCAGTTGATGGGTACTTGGTCATCTTAGGAGGACTGAGCCAAAGTAAGAAATATAAGAGGTATGTGTTTACAAGAAAGTTCAACTGTGTGTGTGCATTATGAGGTACATACATATTTTTGTGTGTGTGTGATATGCAGACCTATGGGGATATGCAAGAATTAAGGATGAGGCGGCACCTGTGGCTCAAAGGCGTAGGGCCCCGGCCCCATATACCTGAGGTGGTGATTCAAACCCAGTCCAGGCCAAAAACTGCAAAAA